TAATCAAAAATAGTTGATTTAACAAATCTTTTTATATTTTAAATATGAAAGTTTCCTAATAGCGTTTCAATTTTGCTAACTTCCACCGACTTACATTAGAGCTCTTCTTTAACTCATATGTATGTATAGCTATATAATTACGTTTATTTTACTATTCTTAATTACGATTCCCAATGTAGCTCAATTGGGACCATATGGGACGTACTATATTTTTAGAAGTACAGTGGGACCTTCATAACTCGAAGTCGCACAGGAATGCTTAAACAGTTCGAGATATAGAGATTTCGAGTTGAAGAGAGAAAAAAAAGTTATGCCAATGTTCAAGGGAACTCATATGCCTTCGAGGCAAGGAGATTTTCGAGTTGAGAGGTTCGAGTTATGGAGGTTCCACAGTATTTATATATATGTATATATATGTGTCATATTTTGAAAATTTATGCAATTATATATATACATATATATATGTATATACGCGTAACTTATATGGAATTTTATTTTATTTTACCTGACACAAAAAAAATCGACTCAAAATAATTTTAAAATTGTTATTAATTTCTATAAATTTTAACATACGACTTACAAGTACCTTAAATATACTTGGAATTAATAATGAACACTTTATTTTTTCACAATAATTGCTATACATGGCAAATACAGAAAATAGAAATATAGTTTTTGACTCTTATACCTAAGGAATTTTACATCACGGCATGTGCAAAACAAATGAAATTACACTTTGTGCAGAAAGTGAAATTGCTTATTAAAAAATAATATGTGTACATACTTTGATTGCAGATTGTTGAACAGCCGTAGCCAATCATGGTTTATTGCAGCCCTCCCATAACCCATTTGAAGTATCCCTGTTCAACATAATTACACGAAGATATTTCAGCTCCAAGCAGCTCTGAGGAGAGTTTCCTTGAGCAAGAGGAAACGACAGCTTCACATAATGACATACCTCAGTAGCCTCCCAACGAAGATTCGATTCCTTCTCAAGCAGCGCAACAATTTTGCCTCTGAAGACACACATTGACAGTCCACAGAAGAGAACGAGCCGAACGAAAAGAACCTCATATTCCACGCGCCAGCCTGGAATATGAGGTTCCTTTCAACATTACTGTGTTTGCTGATACCATCTCGACGAGAGCGAGCACACAGCTATAAAATAGCTTAAGTGTGACCTGAGCCGATTGGACAACATCACCACCGTACTATCTGAGAACACATAGATGGTACGATTTTTATATTGTCTTTCTGTGTTTACTCTCAAACATATGTATCTCTATTGAATGTATTTCAACTTGAAACACCGAAAAATGCGGGTTCAGGCTCAGACTTGTACTTATGTCCGGTCGCATTACATGTACTCGTAGTTTGATTAGTTGTATGTATGTTTATAAAGTGCACATAATATGTATCTACCTATAATTCAATAATATCATTTTTCCGCCGATAAAATAATACAAAGTATGTATTATAAAATACGTATATGTATGTGATTTTAATTGTTCGAATTCTTTTTTGAGTACCGCAAATAAGATTTTTTATTATTATGAATTGTGGTTTGTGATCAATTTTGTTACTGAATGCGTCGTAATATGAAATCCACAATTCTTTTTGTTTGCATAAATGCTGAAATTGCTCAATCTATTAAATACATACATATGTATATACTTACCGTCCTAATATACCTAATAAGTATTGTACACAATCAAATTAATAATTCAGCATTGACTAAATAATTTCGTTACGATGTGTCTAATATAATTTAGTTACTTTAATATATTATGTATTTATTTTTAATAATAATGTATACCTATAAGGTAAGAAAAGAAAATTTTTTATATGCAGCGTCATAATACAGTGAGAACCCCTTATAACGAACGTTTCTATTTAGGAGCAATTTTTGCGAATCCTCTTTCTTTTTGGTAAAAACGTAGAATTTTTGTTGGTCATTATGCAGAAGCTCGCTTGTTCGTGATAAATAAGTACGTAAATCCATAGACACTATTTACCGGCACATATTACAAAACATTAACATTCGATTATTTTATGATTTTCTAAATAAGACAAAAAATTTGTTTTAACGTTTCACATAATGATTTTGGAATTGTTTTGTTCTATGAAATTCTTATGTTAATATCATTTAAAAATGTAGTAATACGTCGTAAAATACAGTGAAATGTTATATTAAAAAAGTCCAAGGAGCTTCATAATATGCAATTTATATACTCATATTACCTATGTGTACCTATGTAAATACATAATGTTAATTTAGAAAAATAAAATCAGAACTAAACTAACACTAATTAATTTATTTGAATTAATGAAACGTTTTAAGTTTCACAAAATATAAACAAGACATATAGGAGTACACTTAAATGGATATGAATAAGAAAAACTTAACACATCTTCGTGAATCACGAATTTTATTTTCACAAGTTTATACTATGTCAAAGTGACGCACATATACATGTACATACTTACATGTGTTATATATTCATACACAAAAATAAAAGCAATTTATATTACACAATACAGGTTGTATTGCTGAACTTAAATACGATATTAGAGCTAGGATTGAGATTTCTCAATAAATATCGATATGATGTTTTTTCGTAAAAGTCGTTACCCAATATATCGTCAAAAATATTTCTCATTTCTTCAAATCATCAATTTATTTCAGTTGTTCAAATCATCAATTTTGAAAAATTGAGTGTTCAGATGTGATGCCGAATGTTACTTTTTTTACCCTTTTGCAAAAATTTTCAAAAATATTTACTATAAATGCTATACATAAATTCAAAAAAAATTTATTTTGAAGTAAATCGATAAGTAAAAGGTATCGATAATCCAATATGTCCGAATTATAACTATTATGAAAAATGCAGTGATACTTACCGATACTTGGATATTATCGTTCCGCCAACAAATTGTACTAAAGGTGATATCTGTGAATTACCTAATTAAAAATAATTTAATTGAAGAAACAATAATGAACTTGTTTGTTACACATGCATAAATTGAAGAAGATGTAAAGAGTGATGTAAACAGTTTTTCCAGAAAATTTAAAGGAAAACTACTTAATTTTGAAATTTTAATATAAATTTTCTGATTTTTAGACACGAATACATTATAATGTACACATTATGTACATAATAATATGTAGTTGCAGATAGTGTTGAATAAATTCTTATTATTATATTTTGCTTTGGATTAAAGTAGATTTTCATTGAAAAAAATAATATTATATATGTGTGTACTGCTATTTTTCTTGTTGCTTTACCAAATATTACGGAAAATAAAACTTGTAGAATAGAATTTACACAACACAGTCACAGATTCACAGCATGTTTTGGAATCTCTTTTTTTTTTGGACACAGTTGATATAATCGAGTAGGTAGTAAACAAAACTACTCATTCTTTAAATTAATAGATAAATAAAAATGATTTTATTTGGTTGAATGACTACTTGCGTACTTTCTTTATATGTATATATACTTACATATGTACATACATTTAATGTAACGTAAATATAATATAACTGCGTGTGTATTATAAAGTTGTACTATATTATAAATGTTATATTGTATTGGAATTGTATAGAAGTTCAGGTCAAATTTACATTTTGATACCATGTATTTACTGTAGTTGTATACATATATAAATGTATGTATATACGAAAAATATCTTATTTTTTTCGTTTTTTTTTTTGCGCCAAAAATATTTTTCTTTGCATTTCTTTCGCATCACATCACAATTTTATTGTAAACAATGTTATTCAAACGAATTATTTCAGAAAAATAAGAAGAGATGAAATTGACATAAGATCTTGCACCACTTTCTACTAATTTTCATTAGAAATATACCAATCTTGTATTGGGAACTGAATATTGTTTTATATTATATATTTTGTCCAAATGTTGATACTATTTTAGAAGTTACATGGCAGTTATTAAAACAGTATTTCTGAATGTACCAAAATTCAATACATTTCTGTTACTTCAGTTATGCTGCAAGTTCTATGACAGAACTTTCGTAGTATTAGAAACCTAAACAAATCATGATGGCGGCTCTAATTTAGAACTGAAAACCTAAACTTTAGCCTAAATCGACAAGAAGATGAATCAAAAATTAGTTGAGAACATACTCATCTATGTTATGTATCATCAATGTATGTATATACTCATCTATGTTCTTTAGAACAATATTTAAACTCATCTATGTATTTTTTAAATTTTTTAATTAAACCTTTTTGAAGAAATCCGTATTATTTTTTTAAGTATGAAGTACATTGTATGCAAAAACTTCAGCTAAGTTTGTTTTGTTTAATAGAGAACTAATTGTCAAAACATAATACAGCTGGTAATGTTATTAAAATACAAATCAAACTTTTTCTTCAAACTCTAAAACTTCTAATTTCTAAATAATTAGTCGTTCGAAAATGAGATAAGAAACATTAAAATTTTAAAATTTCAAGTCATTCTGGCAACTACAAAATTTGAGAAAGATGCCTGAACAACATTTCTGGCATTTCAGGCATTTTTCTTTATAACAGAATGAGTTTCCGAACACATTTTACGTTATTACAGCGAGTGTTTTCAGAACAATCTACATTTCCAGTGTGCCGCTACATTTCGAATGTGCTGCAGGTTACAGCTATCAAATAGAATAAACGAAACCTGTAATACTTACATATATATTTTACAATATGGAGTACTCAAGAATATGTCAAGGCCCTGGTACTTCTTTTCAGAGTAACACAATCAGTGTAATGCGTGCTTTATTAAATAAAGTTAATATTTTCTTGTTCTCTTTTTCCAATTACATATTTGCTAAAAGGTTTTCTTTTTAATTTTTCCTTTATTTATAATATATTAATTCTTTTTTTAAATTTCACATTTTCTTTTATAAGATCAATTTTAAAACTATATCAAATTAAATTATTATTTACATAAGACAACTAATTTTATTAAACCACAATTTCATTTTTGTTTTTCATAATTTTTATAATTTATATTTCTAAATACAATATATGTACATATATAATAATACAATTAATCATATAAATACATGTATATGCTTGTATATATTATCATCATTATATACTTTAAAAAAGAAAAAAAATAATTTAATACTTAATTCTTAAATTTTATTCCTAGATAAATTTCAAATAAAAATTTAAAAATAAACAAAAAAATAATGCAAAAAAAAAAATAATTTAAATATTACATCTTATGTATTCAGAATACAACAACAACGTATTATATATGTACGTACATACATATATATATTTTGTATATATGTATGTATATACACGTATATTATTTATATAAAATATTTTCTTTTTTCATTTAAAATTTAATTAAATTTTTCTTTTTGTTTCTTTTTTTTTTTGTTTTTAATTTCGATCGGGACATTTTGTTTGCTGAATTTTTAATTTGACATTTGGTGATTCATTTCCATTATCAATTTTTGGTAATATAGCTGTATGTACAATAATACCAGGTTGATCATCAGTTTGTGGATGTATTTCATGACTTTCGCCAGGTGTTAAATTAGCTAATGCGGCAATTAAATCATGATTAACCAATGGTTCATTTTCTTCTCGGGGTTCCCAACCGAATGGTGGGCTAGCTGGTGGTGATATTAGAAATTGTTTAACCAATGCCGGTGGCTGTAAATTTCGTTGTGCTACCGGTGTTACAGGTTGAGCAAAATAACATGTTATAACTGATTTATTATGAAATTCATATTGATGTAATTGTATACGTGCATTTGCAGCTGATATTGCATTATCATAATTAACACGTAAACGTCGAAAACTTTTTAACCACTGAAATGTACATTTTTCCGAAAATTTACGAAATAAATCTTCCATTTCATTTTTAAGTTTATCATTTGTAAAAACTTCTGAATGAATATTTGTAACTATTATTGATGTTGGTAAATCATCAAAATTATATGGATCAATATCATTATTTAATTCGTCATCAGAATCTAAATCTGTTGGTAATGTTGGATGTTGACTTGATAAACCATCTGATGCATTTATAAAAAGATTTTCATCTGGTGATATTTGTTCAGTACTATTTGGTCTATCATCATTTAATTGTTCTTCTTTTGGTGAAGACATTTTTTAAATTAAATAAGAAAAATATTGAACAGGAAACGAAATATGTATAACAAAATCTTCTATTTTTTATTCAATTAAAATAGTTTCTATGTTGATTTTTTAATAATTTTAAATTATTTTAGATTTATTTGGTAAATATATGAGATTCTTTTGATATTATCTTCAATATTAATTAGTCCTTATAATTTATTTGATATTGTGTTTCTGTTTTAAAATAAAATTTGCGCCCTTATATTTTTGAAATTTTTCTTGTACCAAAATTTATAAATATTTTGTAGTCTACGAAGTATTTCTTTTTTTACTATTATTATATAATTTAATTAATTATAAATTTATGGAATAAAACAATGAAATTTACATAAAATTCAATTAATTATACATAAATGAATTAATAAAATATTTTTTTTATGTGTGATTTTTTCATTGAATTAAAAAATCCGTTTTCGGTGCTTACTTAAATTTTTTCTTATATTTTATTTATATTTTTCTTTAATTCATTTGAGATTTTCATTTAAATATTTTTAAATAGATTTATTGTTTAATTTTATTTTGATTTTTTTTTGTCTACTTTGCTAAAAAAATTTTATAAATAAATATTAAAAAATGAAAAGAAAAGAAGAAAAAAAATGATTATTTTTAAAACATTGGAATGCTTCTTCTTCTATTTTATATTTATTTTTAATAGTATATCGTAAATATATTATCAAATTTAGAAATTATTATAATTTATATACCTACTTACTTAATTCCAATGTATATACTTACATAAATATAATACGTTTACATCTATATACAAATTAGTATTTTTTTGTTTTTAAAAGTGTCTTAAATACAAGAGGGTGTCATATCATTCAGAAAAAAGACTCAAATTATGTCTGAAATGAAAAAGAAAAGAAAAAAATAAATGTAAACAAGATTATAAAAATAAAAATACAATATACTTAATGGCATACATATTCATATACATAATTATAACTAAACTACATAATTACAATACATAATATTAAAAAATAAAATTGGGTCAAACCAATGGTATGTAAACTAGCACTTTTCATTAGCAAGTGAAAATACTGCTGTTAAAAACAATCTTTTACATTTTAAATTATTTATTAAATTATAAATTGTCTTATTTAGAATAAGACAAAATAAAAAATTGAAAAAGGCGTTACCATAATTGTCGAATTCAAGTGTTAATTGCATCAGTTAAGAAAAATAATTATATTTTTTGATGGCATGACATTTTCCTTTTACTTTGTAAAAGGAAAATGTCATGCCATCACTTTTTTAAGCTTATAGTTTCGGAAATGTAAGGTGCCGAAAATTCAAGTTCTATAAATTTCGAGAGGCAATAACTGGTGAGTGAATGCAGATGGAAAAAAATTTCTTTTAATAAAATAAACTATTGATTATCTAAATTCTGCTGAAATTTCAGAATCCTTGAAGGAAAACGGTGTTAAAAATTTGAAAAAAAAAGAAAAACCAATTTTAGATAACCGTTCATTTTAACGGCCATTTCGTCATTTCGTTGGTCAACTATACTATGTCTCAATAGAAAAAATCAGCCACAAATTTTCTGTCATTGCGGAGTTTGTAAAATGTTTGTAGTTTCTTTACAATAAATATAGTCAAAAAATGGCATCTTTATGATAATGCGAAGTTATAATTTTTAGAGGGAGGTCATACATAGTTAAAACCTTTCTTCTATGGAAATAAATTTCTATAAAAATCTATTTCATACAAAAATTTCAGCTTTCTGTCTTAGAAGTTTTGAAGAAGGATGTAGAAGTGCTGTAAAAAGACATGCAGACGGACGGAAAGACTGAATAAGCACTTTCATTCAATTTTTTTTTTTGGAAAAGTGCTAACGACTGAAAGAAAACATCATATTCTTAAATAATATTATTATACAACAATTTAATTTATTCATTACTCATATATAATACTGTAATATATCTGTATTTATAACTGTTTATATATAACGCACATATGTACATACATAATAAATATTATAGTGAATGTTATTGGCAAAAGTAAAGTCATACTATAGACTGGTTTTACACGATCAAAATATGATATTTTCAAAAATGAAAAAATCATTAAATACGATATGAAGAATAAAAGAGTAAAGTGACGGAAGAATAAAATAATTCACTTTCAGAAGTAACGTAATATATTAGTTAGTCGATTGTATGAGAAATCTGAGGCGGCATTAGGAATTTACACAGGAATTTACACAAGCAATTGACTGCATGAACGGGAGTGCACTTTCAGTAACACGAGAGATAAATTACATTCGAATATAAAAAAAAAAAACAAATTCATATTCGTATAGCATAAAGTGTCAAATATTGATAAATAATATTTGAAATGTCGAAAAAGAGGAAATGATTTCAAATACAGGAAATATTGAATATTCTTACCAATTATAAAGAGTTCTGTCTCTCAAACACAGTCTAGATGAAAATTTTGTAGAACTGTAAACAACAATTAAGTTTTAATTGAGAAATTTAAACAAAACTTAACCATCTTTGACACTTTTAATTTAAAAAAAATGCTTTGTTTTTTTTTTTTTTGATTTTATAAAAAGTAACAACATTTTCCATCGCTATTTTATATGTATGTATATTTGATTAATTCAAATTAAAAAAATAATATTAAAAATAAAAGAAAAATAAAAAAAATAAAAAAATAAAAGAAAACTTTTATAAAAATTAGCCATTGCTCTAATTTGGACATTTTTTTATGAAATTTTTTTAAATTATATTCCCGCTAAATTGTTTTCCGATACAATCGATTAAAGGACAAAAGAAAATATTTTTTTTTTTCTTTAGCTTATATCAAAAGTTTTAATGAACTATGAAAAAAAATCAAAAATTTAAAAATAGATTCGCGTGTAACAATTAACAAAATATTAAAAATATAGTTTTCAACAGAACATTAATTTTTTCATATAGACCATGTTGGCTTTGTTGGCAATATATCAACAAATTTGGTTATATTTGTTAGGAACATATGCATGTGTGTGTAATATATTATGTAAAATTGAATCAGTTTTGTAAAAGGTATAAAATAAGTTATTTATTATTGCTCCATTAAAGGCCCAAGTTTCGAATAAATTCATGGTTGAAATAATGAGCAAGTGCCATCATATTTATAAAAAAATCATATTTTCCATTAAATTCCATTAAATTTTTCTAAATCGTGTAAAAGCAGCTAAAAGTTAATAATGAATGATTTTTTTTATGAATACAAGTATATTATGTATTATATTTTAAATATCATGTATATATACGTACATTGTTGATAAAATTTTCAATAGGCCATCAATATAAAAAGCTTTCTGAATTTCCATACAAATGAATAATTATACATACATGTACATAGATACCTTAGTATATACTTACATACATACTTAAATTATAAAATTAAATAATAAAATATTATTTAATTTTAAAATCGTAAAGAGGCGTTGTTTTAATATCAGAATTATTTTTAGCTTGCAATTATTAAATATTAAACATCATCGATTCAAAACACATGCATATTTCCCAATGAACTCTCTGTAAAGTCTCTTATATTAAAAAGAATGTCCAACAATGATTTTGAACCTAAAAAATATTGAAACTATGTAAAGCAGCTCTAGTTGTTAAACCAACTTGTCAAACTAATACTTTGATGAAACTTCTTAAAGTATGACACATAGATATTATACAATATATCCTATAATGTATGCATATATGCATATATTCATTATTTTTTTCTGGATATTATGGAACACCCTGTGTCAGTATACATACAAATATAAAAATTTCAATTCAAATGGCTTGGCAAATTTGAAAAAATTAATGAATATAATATAACATAGTATAATATTATATTATATATGTATACACCTGTATATTATACATTTGCAGTGAAAGTATAACAATTGGATTTATGTCAACAGTTTTTAACATTACAGAGGAGAAGAACTAGTCTTTCGGTCTGTATACAAATTAAATACATTTATAATAAATAGTTGACGTCAATATTCAAAAATACAAAAATTAGTGGAAGTTTAAGAGTTCTGCCATATATTATACTTTCATATTGGAACATTTGAATATCCTCAAAAGAATAAAAATAATTTTAGAGTATACGAGTATTAATAAATAAGATATTCTTAACATGTTTTTATAATAATAAAAAGATGTATCGTATCGCTTGTTAATTAGATATTATATGTCATTTTGAAAAATTTTTACGAAGAACAATGATCCACAAACTGTGATCACAAATTATTTTTGTATTGTAAATTTTAGTAATCTTTGTTTTTCCCAGTATGTCAAATGCTAGCAATAGATTTTAGTCATAATATAAAATCCTATTGTACGTAAACACACATTGATGAAGATGATTGTAATTTGCAAAAAACGATTTATGTGATTAGCATAATTATCAAATCTTTTATATACAGGGAAACGATTATTACATACTGAGACAAAATTCTGAACACACTCGACTAAATTTATCGAACAAAAAAATAATGATATAAGAGTTCATAGCCGTAATTTTTTTTCAAATTTTCGTTGAAAGTTCGGAAAGTGCCTTATTGAAATTTTGTTTTGTAAAATTTATGGACACCTATTTAATACATGTATACATTTATACCTATTTAACGACTTCAAAGAATTTCACAACCCTAAAAAAATATATGAACAGAAATTTATCTTAAACATAAATATTGAATTCACGTTATGAAAAAATTTTCTATTTATAAGTTTTACCCACCATTTTAGAAATTTAAAAGAGACAACTAATTGTCGGTAGGGTCGATTATAAAATTCTTTATCAATTTAAAGTATGTGCATATTTTACAAATCTTTATTAAATGCATTTATTTTATTTATATACTTGAGTAGTTAAGCATTTTTTAAATCTGTTTTACATGATCGGCCATTTAATACGGAAGTGTTAAGAATACATTTATGTGTATAAGTAATAAAATATACTAAAATAAAATCAAAAATAAAAGAATATAGTCAATCTACAGATAAAAAAAAATCTGATGTGATCAGCACATAAACGACCGCAATGTACATTGTCTAGATTAGTAAAATTACTCCAAGAAATTATGAAAATGCGTTTTAAACTCTTTACAATTTTAAGGACACTAATAAGCTTTTAGTTAACATACGAGTACCTAGAAAAAATGTGAATTTGGCTCTTAGTGAAGTTCCAATTTGTGTCGACCGAATTATACGAAAATTTCGTCAGCAACTTCTGGTGAAAACCAGAACTTAAATATTAAATTTCAAGAAATTCCATCAATTCGTTTCGTTGATATGGTAAAAAATGTAAAATCGGCTCCAAGATCAGTTTTCTGACCTTCCCAAAAAATTTAGGGATTATTGTTTTAACATCTTGAATTTAAATAATAAATTTCAGTGAAATTGGTTGATTTTCTTCAAAATGGTCAAAAATGTAAAACAGGCCTATTAAAAAGTCCTGTTCCTGAGGCCTGATAGATCCCAAAATCAACCCGTAAAATAGTCGATATAAACTTACATAAAAAATTTCATCAAAATCGGTTCAACCGAACTTGAGATAGATGCGTGCACACATAGACCGACTGGTTGCCAAAAATAGTTTATTTACACTTCTCTACTATGGAGAAGTGCATTCCCACTGAAAACTGGATATGCAAAATTTGTTGCCATCACATAACCTACCTTACCTTATTGTATACACAATGCGGTCGGTAAAAAGTGGACAAATATTTTGTACAGAAAAAAAATAATTTCTACAAAATTATATTCAAAAAGAATTTTCAAATGTATAGGCTGATTTTCTTTCTCTGTTTGTTTTTTTGGATAATGGCCATTTTTGTTGTTAT